GAGGAAAATAATATTTTCCTCGTAAGAGCCTCGTAAATTTACTTCCACTTTACGAGGAAACGCTTTTCTCGTAAGTTTACGAGAACCTTACGAGGAAAAGATGTTTCCTCGTAAAGTCGAAGTAAACTAGTAGTATTTTTACGAGGAAATGTTTTCCTAGTAAATTTTCCTAGTAATGGCTTAGTTTTCTTGTAGTGTCCTTGATGGGCCTCCTGGTCGGCCTATCAAGGTGCATGTCACTCGGCTGCCTCTTGTCGTCTAGTCGCGGGGACATGCGGAGTCGGACCGAGTCAAGGTTCAATCGTGTGTTGGGCCGACCTGGCCGTTCCTAAGTAGGTTGTCCTTGTTATTTGACGGGCCCTGAAGGGTGGGGCAATACACCTCCTACAATCGGCACATACAAAAAGATCTCTACTGTCACTATGGTTCTTCTACCCACCAGAACATAGACGGTTCCTTTATGCCCAGTGATAAGATTAACCAATGATAGTGTATGAAGACACTAATGTTAACAGTGCAGTGTTCCAGGGAGCCGTGTAGTAGTATGTATGTAACTATAAGCTGCATTGCACCAGCTTCTCCAGAAGTAGGAGATTTCTCATATGATATCTCTTATATGAGGATGGACACATTGGTGATTTACAAATCACCAAAGCTAAAGAGGATTCTTCCAACCGAGTTTACAAATCACCACAGTATGCTTCTTCGACCGACCATAACAATTCAGACCAAAACAGAGAGCTATAAGTTATAATTACAACTAAGCAAACATAAAATACTCAACACCTTTATTGTCTTATGTTTTTCAAGATTACCCCAATGAAGCGTTTGTACAATGCCTGAATTGTTGAGGAACAAACATAAAATCAATTATAGCTTATTCAATACAAGCCCAAGAGATTTTGATTGTCTTTTATTTTTTGGGTAGATAATTTAACTCTTGTTCCGAATCAAGAGCCTTCTCTTTATTTCACTCGAAAGTGGCCAACTTCCAAATAATCTGACACTGAGAAACCAGTAACATGATAACGTTTGAGACGAAACTTACGAGGGGATGATGAGTCACTCAAACGTCTGAGCCAAATCCGCCACCGCCCGGTGTAAGAATCTGTAGGATTTCATCGGCTTCCACATGTACAGTATTCTTGCCTCCAAGATAGATTCTCCGTTTGTCTTTAGTAATGAGATAGTTCTCTCCACGAGCTCCATTTTGGCCACCGTTCAATCCACGTGGCGAGTGAACTCGTCTCTCTGACAGAATACTAACCACCACCGGCTTTCTAAACTCTATCTCTCTCACCAATCCATCTCCTCCTTTGTGCAACCCATTGCCTCCACTCTTCTCTCTCAATCCAAATCTATGCAACATAACCGGGTACCTGAAAATAAGCCCTTTTCTTAGTCTAGCTAGTGCAAGTAAGTTTGGTTTAGGTTAAGAGGAAGTTTTAAGTACCTCTGTTCGAAGATCTCGGGATCAGTCATCCGGGTGTTCGTCATATGGCATTGGATTCCGCTTGTCCCGTCCCATGTCGGCCCAGCTCCACATCCTCCTCCAATGGTCTCGTAGTACCCAAATGTATCATCTCCAAATGTGAGGTTGTTCATACACCCTTGTGAACAAGCACAAGCCTTGAAAGCTGTTAGTACAACATCTGTAACTCTCTGAGATGTTAGAACGTTTCCTCCAACAACAGCTGCTTTCTCGCTTGGCGACAGAAACGAACCAGCCGGTATACGGATCTCAACCGGAGCTAGGCAGCCTTGGTTTAGGGGAATGTCGACATTAACCAAACAATGGAGGCAGTAAATAACTGCTGCAGATGTAACTGCTTCCGGTGCGTTCCAATTACCGTATACTTCAGGGCTTGTGCCTGTAAAGTCGAAGAAGGCTTCTCCTCTGTCAGCATCGATTGTGAGTTTTAAGTGAATCACGGATCCGTCATCCATATAATCCTCTTCTTCTATGGTCACAGAGTTACCAACTTTTGAATTAGGAGTTTCCGAAGAAACTTTGATCGCGACAGATTTCAGCATTTCTCTCACTGCTTCTTCTGCATTAAGCTGCACGTATTTCATATAAGCCTGAACAGTTCCAAGGCCATATTGCTCAATCAGCTCTTTAATAAGAGCAATTCCTCTCTGGTTGGCAGCTATCTGGGCTTGAAGATCGGAGAGATTGTCCTGAATCCTTCTCGTTCCAGGAATATTAGCTGTTGTTTCATCAGAAGAAGGGAACTGAAGAAGTTTGATGATTCCCTCGTCCTGGAAAACTCCTTTTTCAACGACTTTAAACGCTTTTATCGCAGCGCCTTCCTCCCAAATCGCCTTTGAGAAAGGAGGCATGCTTCCTGGAGTTATGCCTCCAACTTCTGCATGGTGACCTCTGCTTGCCACAAAGAACACAAGCTTGCAGTTGTCGAAAACAGGCGTGATAACGGTTATATCAGGCAAATGGCTACCACCGGCGCAAGGATGATTCGTCACCAAAACATCTCCTTCGTTCAGATTTTTACCCCAGTGTTTGAGCTGCCAGCGAACAGTACTCGACATGGCACCGAGATGAACTGGAACATGCGGCGCGTTAGCAACTAAACCGCCATCAGGACTAAACAAGGCACAAGAAAAATCCAACCTTTCTTTGATATTCGTCGATATGGAAGTACGTTGCAGGGTTCTTCCCATTTGCTCAGCAATACCCATGAATCTGTGATTAAAGATGGACAGTTGAACAACATCTGCAACATTCTCCGCAAGCTTGACACCACTCACTGCAGACTCCAACTCGATTCTGATGTTCCCATACTTTGTTATTATGGATTTACACCGAGGCTCTACGATAACTGTACTATTGCCGTTCATGATGATCGCAGGGCCAGGAATCTCATGCCCAAATCCTAAATTCTCTAACTTGAACAACGGTGTGTCATGCCATCCGCTTTCAAAGTAAACCTTGTAGTGACTTTCAA